TGAATATAACAATGTCTTTGCAATACGGACACAAGTTAAACCCACAATGTAGAATTAGCGGTAATGAAGTTTTGAGTCTTGACGACAGCGATGTATAATTCTGTCACATGGATCTCTGGAGAACGGCTAAAGAACGGGAAAACTTACAGTACCAAGGTATTTGTAATCAGAACACATTGAGACTGCGTGTGGGTGCTGATAGTGACGATAATACCGTCGTAGGAGATAAGGCTGTTGCTGATGCATCAGGTAACCGATTCTTTATTCCGCCCGACTTTGAATAACTACATAGTCACATACCCTTTTATCAAGCATCCCTAGGTGATAGGTTAGAATACGAACTCACTTTTAATGACTACGGAAGAGTAATCAAAGCTACTGAAGATGCTAGCTATTCTATTGACAATATCTCACTGGAGTACGATATGATAACAGATCCTGAATTAGCCAGACAAATTCGTAACCAGTATACCGGAAGTTTAGCTATTTTGTACGATTGCGTGCTTCAATACCGAAAGATCACCAGGAACAAAAGAGATACGACGTGGAATATCAATCTAAACGTCCCCGCTAGATCATTGAAGGGTATTTTAATGTTGTTCGAGGACCCCTTTGAAGCATTTCAAAGAGATACTGAGAAGTTCTACAACCCCAAGATTACAAAAGTAGAATTGACTATCGAGGGCGTGCCTAATCAACTATATAGTCAAGGCATGCGATCATATCAACAGTGGGATGAGATTAAAAAACTCCCTTCTATGAAACGAAGCCCAGAAGTTAACTTGGTCGTGAAAGATCTGTCTCTCGGGGATGTATTGCTGGCTGAATTTCTTGCCACGAAGTATTCACTATGGCTCGACATGCAAACCACAGATGATGGCCAACTACACGGTAGTGGGCGGAGAATAGAAAATGCCAGTGAGGGTGTTACTATACAGATAACGAAGCTCTTCGAAGCGGCTGGTAAATTAAACATATATTTGTACGTGATTATGGATGCGCAACTTAATATACAGAATGGAAGATTTGTGCAAGCGATCTATTAATAATCTTTTACCTAAAGAACCGCACTGCGCTATCATCTGCGGGCAAACTGGTTGTGGAAAAACAGCTTTTATTCTAGATATTTTACAAAGTCATTATCGGGATGTTTTCGACCATATTATTATTTAGTGCCCGACTATAAGCTTTAATAAAACATACCTATTGAGAGATTGGGTAATGAATGATCCCAGGGTGTACAAAGTTGATCTGGGCGATCGTTTACAAGACCGTTTACGAGTATGTCACAAAAATTACAAAGAATCAACACTTTTCATAATAGACGACTGCAGTGCGAGTAAAGAACTTACCAAAAAGAAAAATATGCTTTCATATTTAGCATTCTCGGGATGACATACTCAGCATAGCGTTTGGGTACTTACTCCAAAATACAACTCTGTCCTGAACGATCTCAGAGAGCAGACCAAATGGGTAGCCCTGTTTCATTGCAAAGACCGAGATTCATTTGAGGAATGTCTACGCGAAAATGATGTTATTTATACCAAGCTCGAACGAGATAAAGTCAGAAAACTGTTATTGGAAACTCGTATTAAAAACCGATCAACCAGCTGCATATGCAGTTGCTTAGCAAAAATATAGCGTGTTGATGTTAAATTGGTCAGATCTTATGGGGAAGAAAGACTCAGGAAACTTATAGCCAGTCCGACTTTTAACAGAAGCAAGATATTTGATAACGACTTAGCCGCACTACATATGCAGAAGAGTAATATAAAATTCAACAGACCGGTGTACGTTGGTAGGAGTATTCTTGACTTGTCAAAACACTTACCGTATTCGACGTAATAAGCGCCCCGCTCTAATAAGCGCCCACGGCGATATTTGCTAATATATTGGCTAGTAAACAATCCCAATCAGCACCCCTTCCGATTGATCAATGTACACAGGACGTATTTATTCGTGTGTAATACGCACTCGTGTGTTAATTATGGGCAATTAAATTCTTGAAAAATATATCTTTCGTATGTAAACACTTCAGGCTGTTGGCATAAACAACGAAATTTACAATCTTTCAACTCAAAATAATATTCTAATAAGCGCCCCCTATTTCTAATTTTGAGAGCGCCCTGGGCGCTTATTACGTTGAATACGGTAATGTATGACTTTTATTACAACTTAAGAAGTAATACGGCGATAGATGCAAGGTGTTATATATAGACACAGATTCTTTGTTGATGGAAATACGAACCGAGGTTGTACATAAAGATATGGCAGAAAAAATAGATATGTACGACACGAGCGATTACCCAAAAGATAATCCACTGCACAGCGTAGTAAATTAAAAAAGGGGTTAGGTAAGATGAAGGATGAATGTGCTGGGACCCCTATAGCGGAGTATGTCAGATTAAGACCTAAGATGTATTCTATAAAGAAGTCTGATAATGGGGAGATAACAAAAGCTAAGGGTGTTAAGAAGAATGTGGTAAAAAAGCATATCAAACACGAACAGTATAAAGAAGCGTTATTCAATGGTAGAACATTCAAACATGAGATGAACTCTTTAAGAAGTGTCAATCACAAGATATATGGATTAAGAATGAACAAGACATCATTATCCCCCTTAGATACAAAGAGATGGATTGATAAGGATGGTGTAACTACCTATGCTTATGGTTATGGTGGTAATACTGTATCGTTGGGAACTATGAGCAACTCTTCTCGTACAAATGCCCTGCCCGGTCCATCTTTAAGATAAAAAAGAATAGGCTCTCCTTCTTTCATAACCAACCGACTAATATTATATATCTTAAGAGACCAAATCAGGTCGGTTGCGCGACATAGGCCTTCGAGTTCATTGGGCTGGTATAAATATCTTACTCTTACTCTATCCGGAAGTTTTTGTTATTTACCTCTCCTCGGTGCTGAAGATTCGGAAGTCTCAGATTTCATTTTAATTCCATCGGATGGTTTCTTCCCTATTAATCTTATTACTTTATTATTCAGCGCTGATACAAAATCGTGTCACCCATTCGGTTGATCTTAATCGTTCCGATTTCATTTCGATCCCATACTGATATCCAAACAAACGTTCCGCTAATGTCCGGTTAAATCCTTCAACGATAGCTTGAGTACGGTGGGCCTCTTTTTCACCTAGCCTGATTGTGACATCGTGCTTTGTTAACAGTTTAGTTACTGATCCCATAAACTTTTATTTTATTTTTTTTCAACATATGGAGCGGCGCATCTGTATACCAAGTAATAACAAAAATGTCGCCCAAGTAGGGTGGTCGTTTATATAAAGTCAATTGGCCACACTCTCACTCACAAATTCAGGTTGGGTAGGACATTCTCTCAGCCCAAAAGCTCTCTAACATGACAGCTGAACACCTTAGTCATGTCACGATTTGCTTATTATTGAGGCTCATCATTGTGGGTTTCACCAAAGTGATGACGTTTAACCTCTACATTACATCACGTTTTCCATCTGTGACAGTTGTGCCTACTGACTTAATTGAGACACTATGTTAATCATATCAAAACAGTAACCTCTAGTTATAAAGCGTATAGGGGAATTGATTGATGTATGTGTCGCAGCAGATTGTGGAATAGGTATGACACATCGTCTCATCTTGCCTTGTGAGAGACAGACACCAAAGTTGAGTTCTTAAACACGATACAACATGGCAGACATGGCTGTTGGATTGGGTGTAAATGTGTACATAATCTTGAAAACTCATCTTCTCCTAGACCCATCCAATTATCACATTATCAACAAATAACCATATCACATTGGAGTGTGAGTAAGTGATTATAGTTTTATGCCGATTTTAGAAATATGGCAGAAATATCACGGCGGGGGACGCCAGTAATGTGCTATAATATAACGTTAGAAATGATTATTCGACATAAATTTGTTTATGATACTGGGGGTGTTTCAAAACAAATTCTGGTGTTTTGTTAATTCACAGATATCTTTCATCACTAATGCTCTCAATGTATCACAGTACAAAGTTTACCAAGGAAATTACAAATGATACTTAAACTACTTATAGGCATGCACTCCAAATACCGTATTCGACCCATTAAGCGCCCCTCCCCCCAAATATCAGGAATAATATATTCCAATATCTTGTTAATTTAGATGCAGCTTTTACTAAACATATTTAAAATAATAATAACCCTAAGCGAAGCAGCTGATCGCGATTGCCGGGTATTTTTTTTACATGGAACCAGTCTGACCAGTCACCGTTAAGGCTCCCTTGCACATGATAGCGTGATCGCGAGAATAACATGTTGATATAGAATCATCCAACAAAAACAAATATGACTTTTAACGAATCAAAGTATGGCATTTACGATATATGTATCTATTCTCTGTCAACTTAAGTTCGTTTCAAGGCGTCAATAGCGGTAATCTGACCGTGGTTGCTGTTAATAACGGTGAGTTGTGCGATCTTCCAATGGCTTCACACACGATTTCGCCGAAAACAATATTAAAAGGAATTTTGAATAAAATTAATGAAATAAGTTACGAACAAAAGTCCAGATATACAAAGAACACTTTTTATAGCCAGACAGTGTAATTACATGAATAATTTGCGAACTTCAGTATGGATTTGTTGACATGGTATTTCCGGTGTTACTTGCTCGAAGTAATGTCTTTCCATGGGGGAAAAAAACATCAAAACTCATTAATTCGTGTATAATGCACACCCCCTTCTACACAGCTGTGTTTTTTGGAAAAAAGTGCGCACTATTCTCAAGAAAATACGGTAAGGCTTACTGATGAATTTACGCCAATTTGACTCTGAATTGGTCCCAATAAGCGCCCACCCCTTCTGTCCCTGGGGGCTTAATGGGTCGAATACGGTACTTCATATGACCACGAGGCTGCATTGCTTGAAAACCTCTGGGTATTATACATCAAATAACATTGTTTCGAACTGAAACCTAGTCCAAAATAAAGAAGCGCACATGGTATGTTTCATATGAATTATTACCCTCTGGTGTTAGTCCAGTTGAGCTGTAGGGCTCACTCCTAAGAGCTACCTCCTGCATAATGATTCCGAGACTGAATATATCTGCCTTTTCGTTTCCTTTGGTCATTAGAATCGGATCACGAAGATGTTCTGGACACGTCCACAATAGATCTGAAATTTACAAAATCATGGTTGTCACAAAATATGTTGTTTGAAGTGCTAGAACTTTAATATAAGGTGATTTATATTTGGCCATGCTTTATCATCTCCTCATGTAAGAAAGACGTTTTGAAATTGAGAACTTTAATAAACACATATTTTCCACGGTTATAATAAAATAGTATAATTGACAAACCAATTGCAAATATCACATCCTTTCAAACGAATGACATACATTGACACACAGGCATTTTACAGATATACTCTATGTGTTTTTTATGTTAGATTAACTCACTGATGCGATACAAAACTTACAGAGTTATTATCAGGGCGTTGGAAAGGATTGAGTAAGAGCCAGAAATATTCCAGCCATTTCACACTGATTACATGTATTGGGTGTACCCCATTGTATGGACAAAAACAAAAAGGCAAAAACAAAAGAATATTATTCCATACCATATGGCTCCAAGTCTGTTCGAATTTGTTTTAATGCAGTGAAGAAACCTGGAAGACCATAGTCTGTTATGCGCAACTGCCAACGACTGTCAATCACACAGTTACGTGATTTTAGATTCCCGTGACATCGAATAGGTGATCCATGAATGTATCGCAATCCCTGAAACAGAACATCATTGAAACTTCTTTTTTTAATTGCATTAAATGTTTGATAATTAATAGGTTTCACACAGAGGCAGTGCACAGGTAACTTAGTATCATGCTCTGTCTGTTACAGTTGCTGTGAGGAGAGTTCCAAGTGAAATCATAATTTCAAAGCAACCATTCAAATTCTACAGGGCTTGTTCAGTTTCAAATACATGTGGTTACTTTTTCAAACACACATATGTGCCTATGCTATCCATATTTCTATACCTACATTAACATAGATGTTATGGCGATGGTAACATTATATACTGAACCGCAAAAGAAACATCACCATGGATAGATATATGAGAAACATTATTTGTCCAAACACTGTAAACATACTTTGAGACATATTAAAAAGATGAAACTTGGCAAAACTGATCATCAAGGTTGCAATTTAAGTTTCAAATGTTCTTAAAGTGAAACACAACACTAGTCTCTGAGAAAATGGCATCACGAGTCAGTATCTCTTGAGTCCGCCATGTGCATTGATGACTGCCGTGCAACGTCAATACATGGAATGGATGAGGCAGTTGATGAAGGCCATAGTCACTTGAGCCCACACTCTGAGGAACGCCTGACGCAGATCAGTTGCAGTTGTCGGCCTTGGTCAGACGTCATTCAGTCGTCTTTGAATCTCGTCCAACAGATGCTCAATGGGATATAAATCAGGACTGAGGGCAGGCCACTGCATGGTTCTGATGCCATTCTGCTGGAGGAAGTCTCTTGTTGCTCTCGCAGTGTGGGCACGGGCGTCATCATACTGAAACTCGTGGTTGCGGCGACGTGTCAAATGAGGTATGGCGTGTGGTCTGAAGACTTGATCAATGTGACACCAATGTCTCTCCCTGGACCAATGTTCTAGAAGGCCACAGGGCCGAACCTCTGTGGAAGACCAATTCCACCCCACACCATGATGCTCAGACCACCCCACGAGTCTCTCTCAACAACACAAGCACCCGAATAATGCCCCCACGGCGTCGCCAGACTCTTCTCTCTGCCATCTGCTGTTGAGATACAGTAACGGCTCTTGTCTGAGAAGAGGAGTCTTCTCCACTGCTGGTGGTGCCAATGCTGGTGCTGTGTTGCCCACTGAAGACGGTCTCGGCGATGACGTGGTGTCAGAATGGGTCCTCGGTGTGGCCTGTGACAGTGGAGGTGTCTGCTCGTCAATCGTTTACGCACGGTGTCCTCACTAATGTGTCGCTGGTGTGTCTTCATGGTCTGTCGAGCAGTCTCCGCGGCAGTAATAAAGCAATCTTGAAGATGCTGTCGCACAATCTGACGATCCTGACGTCGGGTGGTGACCCTTGGTCTCCCACTATGTGGTCAGTCATCTGTAGTGTTGGTGGTCTGGTACTGTTGCTGGAGCCTGTATATGGTCCTTACATGGACTTGAAATGCATTGGCTACTTGCTAGGCGGTTTGTCCAGTTTGCAATCGTCCAAGGGCTTGGTGTCGCTGATTTCTTGTCAATCTTGGCATGTGGTAGCAATTCAATAACGAATGAATGTTATCCGATCTGGGTGGATTTTTATAGGGCAAGAAATGGGGAAACACATGTGCATTTCAATTTACACGGAACTCACATGCATCAGGTTACCATGGCCATTGCCGTGATGCGTTTGGGCGATCGGTTTTATTGTCATCTGCTTTGTTTTTTTATCATCAAATTTCATTTTTCCAGACAATGTAATGTTACATTTTTTAGAAACTTTGACTAAAATTACCCAGATATTTAAATGACAACTTTTCATGCAATGTTACTTGGGGTGATGTTTCTTTTGCGGTTCAGTATATATTCATACAAAAGCTGTAACAGTGAGGTAAATTTTCACTGCATCCGGAAGTGCTCAGGTAATACATTGACTTAATCCGCTCAAACATCAAGCCACCTCACTGGTGATCAATTAATGCAAAAACTGTTTCAAGTCATCAGTGACATCATCTTCTCTTTGTTGCCGATTTGGACTGATCAATTCACTCCCCTCAAAGGATGAAAACACTTAGGATATACTCAATCCTCCTTAGGATCAAATCACACCCCTAAAAGGATGTGAAACACTTAGGATTTACTCAATCCTCCTTAGGATCAAATCACACCCCTAAAAGGATGTGAAACACTTAGGATATACTCAGTCCTCCTAAGGTTCAAATCACTCACCTCAAAAGATGAAAACACTCAGGATATACTCAATCCTACTTAGGATCAAATCACTCCTCTCAAAGGATGAAAACACTCAGGATATACTCAATCCTCTTTAAGATCAAATCATTCCCCTCAAAGGATGAAAACACTCAGGATATACTCAACCCTCCTTAGGATCAAATCACTTCCCTAAAAGAATGAAAACACTCAGGATATACTCAATCCTCCTAAGGTTCAAATCACTCACCTCAAAGAATGAAAACACTCAGGATATACTCAATCCTCCCTAGGATCAAATCACTTCCCACAAAGGATGAAAACACTCAGGATATACTCAATCCTCCTTAGGATCAAATCACTTCCGACAAAGGATGAAAACACTCAGGATATACTCAATCCTCCTTAGGATCAAATCACTTCCAACAAAGGATGAAAACACTCAGGATAAACTCAATCCTCCTTAGGATCAAATCACTTCCGACAAAGAATGAAAACACTCAGGATATACTCAATCCTCCTTAGGATCAAATCACTTCCGACAAAGGATGAAAACACTCAGGATATACTCATCCTCCTTAGGATCAAATCACTTCCCTAAAAGAATGAAAACACATTAAGGATATACTCAATCCTCCTTAGAATCAAATCACTTCCGACAAAGAATGAAAACACTCAGGATATACTCAATCCTACTTAGGATCAAATCACTTCCCTAAAAGAATGAAAACACTCAGGATATACTCAATCCTCCTTAGGATCAAATCACTTCCGACAAAGGATGAAAACACTCAGGATATACTCAATACTCATTAGGATCAAATCACTTCCCTTAAAGGATGAAAACACTCAGGATATACTCAATCCTCTTTAGGATCAAATCACTTCCCTAAAACAATGAAAACACTCAGGATATACTCAATCCTCCTTAGGATCAAATCACTTCCGACAAAGGATGAAAACACCCAGGATATACTCAATCCTCCTTAGAATCAAATCACTTCCGACAAAGGATGAAAACACTCAGGATATACTTAATCCTCCTTAGGATCAAATCACTTCCGACAAAGAATGAAAACACTCAGGATATACTCAATCCTCCTTAGGATCAAATCACTTCCGACAAAGAATGAAAACACTCAGGATATACTCAATCCTCCTTAGGATCAAATCACTTCCGACAAAGAATGAAAACACTCAGGATATACTCAATCCTCCTAAGGTTCAAATCACTTCCCTAAAAGAATGAAAACACTCAGGATATACTCAATCCTCCTTAGGATCAAATCACTTCCCACAAAGGATGAAAACACTCAGGATATACTCAATCCTCCTTAGGATCAAATCACTTCCCTAAAAGAATGAAAACACTCAGGATATACTCAATCCTCCTAAGGTTCAAATCACTCCCCTCAAAGAATGAAAACACTCAGGATATACTCAATCCTCCTAAGGTTCAAATCACTTCCAAAAGGATGAAAACACTCAGGATTTACTCAGTCCTCCTAAGGTTCAAATCACTCACCTCAAAAGATGAAACCACTCAGGATATACTCAATCCTACTTAGGATCAAATCACTCCTCTCAAAGGATGAAAACACTTAGGATATACTAAATCCTCCTTAGGATCAAATCACACCCCTAAAAGAATGTGAAACACTTAGGATATATTCAGTCCTCCTAAGGTTCAAATCACTCACCTCAAAAGATGAAAACACTCAGGATATACTCAATCCTCTTTAAGATCAAATCACTTCCGACAAAGGATGAAAACACTCAGGATATACTCAATCCTCTTTAAGATCAAATCACTCACCTCAAAGGATGAAAACACTCAGAATATACTCAATCCTACTTAGGATCAAATCACTTCCCTAAAAGAATGAAAACACTCAGGATATACTCAATCCTACTTAGGATCAAATCACTTCCCACAAAGGATGAAAACACTCAGGATATACTCAATCCTCCTAAGGTTCAAATCATTCCCCTCAAAGGATGAAAACACTCAGGATATACTCAATCCTCCTTAGGATCAAATCACTTCCCTAAAAGAATGAAAACACTCAGGATATACTCAATCCTCTTTAGGATCAAATCACTTCCCTAAAAGGATGAAAACACTCAGGATATACTCAATCCTCTTTAGGATCAAATCACTTCCCTAAAAGAATGAAAACACTCAGGATATACTCAATCCTCCTTAGGATCAAATCACTTCCGACAAAGGATGAAAACACCCAGGATATACTCAATCCTACTTAGAATCAAATCACTTCCAACAAAGGATGAAAACACTCAGGATATACTCAATCCTCCTTAGGATCAAATCACTTCCGACAAAGAATGAAAACACTCAGGATATACTCAATCCTCCTTAGGATCAAATCACTTCCGACAAAGGATGAAAACACTCAGGATATACTCAATCCTCCTTAGGATCAAATCACGACCGACAAAGGATGAAAACACTCAGGATATACTCAATCCTACTTAGGATCAAATCACGACCGACAAAGTATGAAAACACTCAGGATATACTCAATCCTCCTTAGGATCAAATCACTTCCCTAAAAGAATGAAAACACTCAGGATATACTCAATCCTACTTAGGATCAAATCACTTCCGACAAAGGATGAAAACACTCAGGATATACTCAATACTCCTTAGGATCAAATCACTTCCCTTAAAGGATGAAAACACTCAGGATATACTCAATCCTCTTTAGGATCAAATCACTTCCCTAAAACAATGAAAACACTCAGGATATACTCAATCCTCCTTAGGATCAAATCACTTCCGACAAAGGATGAAAACACCCAGGATA